AGTCCATGAGTCTTTTTATTTCACAAGGTATTTTCTATGTTGAGTAAGGCAGTAAAAGAAAAGAATGCTAATAAGAGGTAGAAGGTGTAGCATATACCAGTGCTGTTTGCAAAGTGTACCCAAGTTTTATTCTTGTTAATTAACAGATCAGAGGTCAGTAACAGAAGGTCACCAAGACTGTGAAGAAAGCTGTGATCTACCCAATAATTTTATATGAAACCACAAAATAACAGGATTAAGATAATAAAATGATTACAATATTGTAAAACCCGATACCTACTAAATGATATCACAATTATTAATGTGCTAAGAAACGCTTCTTGTCCATTTTTATTCTCTTTGGTTGCCAAATCTGAGATACGCTTGGAAATTTTAGCCCAGAACATGATTTTTTAAGAAAGCAAGAAAGTTTGCCATCAGGGATTTGAAGCTTGGTGTTCTGCACCTTGTAGCAAAATGGTCTTGTACTGCTCAGCCGTACCAACACCAGATGTAGAGACTCTTAAAATGAGGTGAGAACAGTTCCTCCTCAGCCAGTGTGAGGCCAGTGGCCAGAACACAAGTTAACAAACCTCTTCCCAGAGCTGCTGGGTAGTCACAAGAGACTATGGAGAAGAGTCTCAGCATCAATCTCTGCGTCAATGCGACAAATATACATGTCAAGATCCACAGGCATTAAAAATACTTAACTCTGTGAGCTGAATACAAAGAAGGAAATTTAGTAGGGACTACCATGCCCCCACACTTCTTAAAGAGAATTTCAAAGGAATTGATAAATACCTTTTGAAGTTTTTTACAGTATCAGCTGTGCTAGGCTGCATCCATGATACAGCTCATGACTGTCCCTTGCCTTACTTGCTTTCCAGGTTTCTAAGAAGGTTTTTATAATCTAGATTTCAAAAGCTCCAGACTTCTTCTATGCCATGCAAACTATTTTGGAAATATCTAATGCATGTCACCTGGTCCTGCTATGAACCTTGTTTGAGAAGAGAGTACAACCTTCCAACAGGGGATTAGTTCCCATCATGTCTCAAATGGCCCCGAGTAAGAATATTCTGATTACCAAGAAGGCATCTGATGCTGAACGTGATGCTACCTCTTCAAGCAGTAGTGACTTTAGTCCAGTTAATCCAATTAAATGCCTGCTACTTTGGAAGGAGAAAAACTGAAACGTAGGGGCAGCCTCTTCTATTCCTGCCAAAACCACTCTTTGTTTCACGCTGCCACAATATGGTCTGTGGATCCGTGTGATAGTGGTGGGTGGGCGCAGCATCTTTTGAAGTCTAACACCAGGACTGGCAAAGTTCACGAGGCTTGTGAAGCTGACAGCAGCTATGACAGATGGTCAGTAGAAACTGAACTCATGAATTAAATGGTGCTAAATGCTGCTTATAAATAAAGATCCTCTCACTGCGCTAACACCTTATGTTTGTTAGTTTATCTATCTTTCGTATTTTGATTAATTATAGGCATCCAGTGAAATCCTCCCCTAATTCAACATGGTTGATTTCACACATGGTTAATTAGAAATGTGTATTTGACTTTTAAGATTTATCCCTAAAAATGCATGTCACAGTGGGTAAATTTGTTGCTCTTGGAGTAACAGCATATCAATCAGCTCTGCTTGAGCCATCTTTATAAAAATAACAACAAATTGTTATACACAAGCTGAGAGCAACTGAAGTGTCTCCTGGCCAACTGCATTATCTAAGCATGCAAAATTGGAAATAAAAGTTACATAAATGAAAAAAAACCCAAAACAAAATCACAATTGAGATACACCTGAAACTTATCTTTGTTCTTGATAGTTTTTGGTGAATTTCTCCATCATTGTGGAGGGGATAAACCAACCAATAGTCACACTATTGGCTACAACAACACAGAGCTTTTTAATTTCTGAGGTATTGTAATTGTCCCTCACATTACTGGCCGCAAGGGAATATCAACACCAGAAGCAATCTTCTTTTAACTAATGAAATCAGCTGTATATTGCGCACCACTATCCTCTTTTGGCAAAAATGCAATATTTCACTACTGGCATTATGCTGGAAGTGAGACAAAAAAAATAAAATCCCATTTTTAGAATGCAAATCACTCCTCTTCAGCTCAGTTCCCTATTTGGGTAGTTTGGTTTCATTTGACTCCCACTTCTTATCCTTTGCAATGTAAACAAAGCATTCAGTGCTCATCTGGGAGATGTTACCTGTGCTGTCCAAAGCACCACTTCAGTTGCTGACTTGATTTTGCTTTATAAAGCATATAACAAGAAACACATTTCTCCAACAGGCATCTTATTTATATTGCAGCTTTCAGCTTGTCCTTGGCATGACATAGAGACAGCACACGAAAACTGACAAACAGAAGATGGATTTTAGAGCAGGCATGTTTGGACTGAGCAAATCCAGCTATCCTTTACTCACTGTCAACTTTAGGAGACTTCATCATTGCACCTCCCATGGATACTGAGGGCTCCATCGGAGTCATCACTCTTCTTTCTGCATCGTTCCTCTGGCAAGCATGCCTCGGATTTCCATGCTGGTCTCCGCTGGCTAGTGAGTGGTAGTGATATTAATTGTTCTCCTATTCACTTTCCTATCTGCAATGGGGTGTTGTTATCCACACACATTACACGTTAACTATTATATAGTATTACAGACAGTGTACCACTCAGTGCCAAAGGACATTTATTTGCTGTGAGGGTGATGGGATTTGCTTGATAGGGTAAAGACTCTCCAGCTACCAAAACAAATAGATGCAGAAATCCTCAGAACCCCCTGAATACACAGCCAAATATTTAACCTCAAAATTCACCTGGTATCTTGAGGCCAGAGGAACCGAGATATGCTTTAGATATGTCTGCAAACCTAAATACTCTCATCTCCTTTGTCTGGGCCTTGCGGAACTGTCTCCTTTGCTCATCTTTTCCTATCTGTCAGGCAGCAGGTTGCTTTTAGAGGGTCTTGGGATGTTTTAAGCCTCTGGACAACAAGCAGAGCCCAGGCAGGATTATTCAGCAGGCTCAGACTTGTGACCTGGAGACCAATTACTCGGCACCTGCAGCTGCACCCAGGTGTGACTCCGGGTACCTTTTCTCGGGGACAGCGGTGGCTCCACAGATGCCCAGCAAACGCTCTTTCCCAGAATCTCGCTGGAGGCACAAGCAACCTGACTTGCTTTCTATGAGAAGAAATGGTAGGTAAAAGCATAAAGATAGCTCCCTTTTCTCAGAGGATTTAAACACATTATTGCTTTATTTAACAAAGAAGGTACAAAAGATTATTAATTGTGACTACACAGTAAGTATTCTTTTTTTAACTGCATATTCTTTTTTCAATCATCTCACTTGTCCCATAAAAGTCCCTGGGATTCAACTTGTGCTTAGGAAAGCCAACACTCTTTGGCTTTCCTTGTAGGCAATTTCTGTTTAAACCGAGGTGTTGAAGTCAGCTGAAGAGTATAAATGTATCAGCTCTTACCTGGACACCTTCCAAGCTACAGCAACCGTGAACTCATTAGTCATGTCTCCAGCTTTTGGTCAAATGGTGATGAAAAGTCAGCACAAGGCAAAGGGACAAATATTTTAAAAAGATTTGGGTGCTGAGCTAAGAGAAATCAGAATTTCTTCCAAAATTAAAAAATAATGCAAATAGTTTTCCAAGAATACAAACATTTCGTTGGTATAATCCTACATATCACAAACAGTATACACAAAGCTCTGTTGCCATGCCAAGACAAAAACCAGAGCAGGGAGGGCTTTTCTTCACTAGTTCCAGGTTTTCCTCCAGCTTGTTCTGTGTCTGTGGAAAGGGAGTCTGAGAAGAAAGGAGTCTCCTTGCTTTTCCCCAGGAACACACTCACGGCTGCATAAATCCCACACTTCTTTTTTTCATTCAAGCCACTGAAAGAAATGCCTAGCTTCTTTAGACCACAGGGCTTAGTCCATCTCATACTTTGTAATTAAAGCCATTTTCTTGGGCAGTGGCCTCCAGTTGTTCCTCACTACCCTTTCATAAATGGGTGTTTAATTTCTTCTACTTAGCCTGAAAGGAAGATGCTTAGCGCTCTCATCAGGTCTGCAATCATGTATTGATCAAAAGAGATGATTGATGCTTGTCATTGAAAATAACTAGAATAACTCTGCCGTAATTTACATTTAGTATCTGGACAGAATTGTTTATATGATTTATCTGTGTTATACCCCATGAAGACAGTAATTTTGTTATGCTTTATTACCTAGCAATTCCAGGTTTTATACTTACTGTGTTGGTTTTGCGTGGCAAGGT